CGGCGTCACCACCGCGCTCAACTGCCGCCACCGCGCAGCTGCGCGCGCTCCGCGTCGCGTTCGACGAGTTCGGCTTCCGCGGCGGGGACGATGCCACTAAGGCCGTGGATGGCTGGCTCTCGTACGCCGTGCATAGCGCCGGCGAGGCCCTGGAGATCGACCTGCGCCTCGGCAGTCGGCACGGAACCCATCTGCGAGTGGGCGTACGCCCTTGTTTCTGGCGGACCCGGTGACGTCAGAGAGGAAGAGGGCGACTCCCGGCACGACGCGACGAACATGGACATGCGCTACGAGATGGCGGAAGGGCAAGACGACGAAGACTACGACGCCTCCGCCGACGATGACGGCTCTGCCGCCACCGATGACTCCGCTGCCGCCTCCGACGACGACGAGGAGTCCGATCCGGTGTACGTGGTGCCGAGAAGCCTCTTCTCCTCCTAGGCCGTGCTACGCGCACTCCGCCCCGGCAGCTGCTGCATCGACCTGCCGTCGGCCATCGCGCTGCCGTCCCTGGACACTCTGCACCTGACAAGGGTCACCGGCCGAAGGGGCGGCGCGAGCGCGATACAACAGCTCGTCTCCGCCTGCCCGAGCCTCGTGGACCTGACGCTCGAGGCCTGCGTGAACCTAACCACGCTCGAGGCCTACGGTGCTGCCACCAGCTGGGCACCGTCATCGTCGGCACGCCGGAGCTGCGGGCCTTCGAGTTCCGCGGCGCCATCCCGCCGGCGTCGTTCCTTATCACGCACGCGCACGCCGCCCCCGCGTAGGATCTCGTTCTGCGCCTTCGACTTCTGCGGCGTGGAGCGCGGCCCCGAGCTGTTCGGTCTGACGGCGGAGCTCTTGGCCGGCGTGGAGCGGCTGCACCTCACGTCCGCCCGGCTTGGGAGCTGCTTCGTCAGCAGCCACGGAGGAGGAGTCTCCCCTTGCTTGCCGATGCTCCACAACCTCGAGATAACCGGGATGCTCCCCGACGACGACGACGAGTCGCCGTCGCGACGGTGGCCCGGATCCTGGAGCGGACCCCGAGGTGTGGTGGACGAGGTCATGTTCCTGCTCTGCAACGCTCCCGTCGTCGACGAGGTGTGGTGGACGAGGTCAGGGGGTGGGTGATGAACAAGTCTGCCAACATGATGTTCTTTTAGCTTTTGCATGCAAAACACAATCCATCTCCTCGTAGAGTCAAAGTATCTCTAGTTTGATCAAAATTATAGAAAAAATTATAAAGATTTATGACATCAAATAGATATACTATGAAAATATAATTAATAAAAAATCTAATGGTACTTAGTGGGTACCATAAATGTTATTATCTTATCATATAAATTTGGTCAAACTTGAGATACTTTTACTCTCTAAGATTTTTAAAATAACTTATAATTTGGAATGGAGAGAGTAATTAACAAGGGTAATGGTAAGGTACATCCTTTACCTATAAGGAGGTAATATCTTAAATAAATCTGAGTCGTTGATTTTTAGATTTTTTAAATCAATTAATTAACCTAAGAACAGAAAAAAGAAAAAGAAAATATCTTCAAACCCCCTCATGCACGGGACGGACAGAAGCGGCGTCCGGCCGCGCGGCCCTTCCTTATTGATTGCACGGCCTTCCTTTCAGCATTTTTACATATACAAAAAAAAAAAATCAACATGTATACAACAGCTTTCACGGTTTATTCAGTTATTAAAAGTTACGTTACATATATAAAAAAATATCAATAGTTAACACACTGAGACGTTAACTTTAGCAATCTAAAACATGTTATATGTTGACACGTTGTGTATATTATACTAACTCGAATAAAACTATATTTCATAGTTGAGAGGGCCTTAGCTGTCACGTATATTGAGCATGCAAAATGGCCATGTGAAGTTTCATGTATGCACGTAAATTTTCGTGCACGTTGGGCACATAGTCACATACACACATCAATTTCACGTCAGTTTGAGCACATACGTGTGGTACGGGTTATTACTTGAATAAAAAATAGGTAGTTTATGTTAATTAAATTATGCTACATCTAAAAGTTGCAAAAAATAAAAAGATTTACCACATCCAATGGATCATGTATGCATCAATTAGATCTAAAAAGATCTTTATATCTAAAACTTTTCCTGATTTGTCATACTTTCCAAAATTAAAAATTAAATAAATATATATTTCATATATTACCTCCCGAGAGGTAGTAGGTGATCGTAACCGTCCGAAATAAATGAAGGGCTCACAGTCATTTGGTTGTTCTTTTAGCTTTTGCAAAACCCCATCTACTGACTACAGGAACTATATGATAGATGTTGAGTAATTGAGAAAGGAAGTGACTACTCATCACCCGGTTGATAATTGATACAATTACCATCCACTTTTTGAGCCAATCATAATTGAACACGGCATCTGTAGAGTAGGGCTAAGGTGAGGGACCAGCCACTCAGCTAGATCTCAAAGAAGCATCGCTCACCCCTCACGCCCGAACATGAGCATGAACGCACGAGGCACCAGCCAGCCTTTTCATGCGGGCGGCGCGGCGCGGGACGGCATGAACAGCACACACAAGCTCGAGCAGCGGGAGTCGAGGCCGGCTCGCCAGTCAGGCCGAGATCTCACGCCCGCTGACTGAAAACAGAAATATCCACATGGCCCATTTGAATTCTCTGCCGACTGAAAACAGAGGACGAAGATGACCATAGAGACATACAAATACAAATGGGTCACAACAACAGATGTAATTGAGCCCATAATACAGAAACGGCAACCAAATAACAGTGGATGAAAACAGAAATATCCATCACTCGGATGATGGATAGAATACATAGCGGTTTTTTCTTCGTGTTTCGTTTGCAGACTTCATCAACATCAATATACACATTGGTAATTTCAATATGTTTTGCTAGTGTAATACCTCTTCCTGCATTTATTTTTTTTCTTAAGGTCTCATTTGGTTACTGAGTAAGGGTAATCATTCCTAGCCGAACGGGGTTTTCACAAATTTCTATAATGTCGGAACCGTTCCATGGCGCGGACCGGCCCGTTCCGTCGAACGTAGCGTAAAGGAGTTTTTACATATCCAAAACAACGAACCCAGAATTAGAACTTAGTTCATTTTGTTAGGGCATAAGTTTTTTGAATACTAAGGATGGGAATGGGCTGACGCTGCCCTGATCTTGGACCCATCCCCATGGCCCCAATACTATTTTTATGAGCCATGGATCGACATATTTCACCTAAAGACTTTGGCCTCGCTGGCCCAATAGATAGTATGGGTCGACCCAAGTATCCTTCTACTATCATGGTCTACGATACAATTAACACTTGTAGAAAAGATAAGATAAAACATCAAAAAGTTTCATGATAATACATTTAGGTAATATTATTAGCAATACATCAAATTGAATAAGCTTGCAAATTAACCATGATTTTTTTTATCTATATTTACTCTCTATAAAATATGACATTCCTAGATCTACTTCCAAGCATAGACGTGCTTACAAGTTATGATCAACTGTGCTTATATTCGGAAAAACAAAGAAAGCCAACAAATTAAGAAAAAAGGGATATTATTTGACGATTGGGTCAACCCATCTTTACTACTGATTTGATATAGGTTTCGCCCTATGTGGGGATCTCACTCCGCCTACGGACCCTCGGCGCGAGGGCGGCGTGGGTGGAGGCTGGGGTTTTCCCATGGGAGAAAAAGACAGGTGGTGTGAGTTAATAAGGGGGCAATAAATATAGAGTAAATGGCAATAAATTCATCTACTTTGCACAACCACACCGCCATGGTATTTATAGGTCATATCAGGGCGGGCAGTGAAATTACACGTGCAATTGTGCATGACGGGAATATTCCTGACATACTTAGGGGCAATCTAGACTTTTGGCCCTTTTGCCGTAACTACCCTCCTGGCCTCGCGGGGACCACATCTTTGGTGATCACCGTTGCCTTCCCAAGGTGCCTTCGTCGGCACGCGACCTCTGGGTGACGGGGGTTCTTGGAAAGGCAAAACAGACTTACATGGTGTTGACATTAGGGAGCCAGAAGGAGCGCCGAGGGTGACACTGGCGAAGGTGCTTCAGGTTTGTGACCCTCGCCGCCTGACCCTGCAACAAGAGGGTTCATGGAGTTTTGTTAAGTAGTGGTCCGGGCCAGGAGGTAAGAAGGAAGAGGTGGTGGTGTCTCTGCGAGGGCGCTTCCCCTAAAAGTAGCCCCTCGGGGCTTTGTGCCAGCTCAGCGGGGCGAAGCATCTAGTTAGGTTAGCAAGCGAAGCTCGTGCCCGAGGGTCCTTAGCCCAAGCGATGCCCCTCTACCTTCGGCCGATGGTGCTAGGATGCAATTGTCACTGAGATATGCGACTGAGGGTGTGTGATACGTGGTAGGTGAAGGAACATGAAGGGGTATGGACATACGGTGCACAACTTAACAAGTCAGGGGGCTAGATTTTGATTTTGAGAGTTTGTGGACCTAAGTGGCACAAAACCAAAAGTTTAAGGGCTGCTAATGTATTTAACTCTTTCTTTTATTATGGGGTTTATTGGCCTAATTGGATATATATATATATATATATATAACTTATTCTGTAGCCACTTTGAGTTACGATAATTACTATGTTAATTTACGAGATTATAGTAACTCCTTACTAAGTGGTTTACAATAACGTTATGGTAAATATCTCCCTGTATTATAGTAACCCAACTATCGTAAATATGTATTGACATTATCGTAAATTAGTACATAAAATTATCGTAAATGGAGGTGACTACAGAATAACTTATTTTGTAGCTGGCTACTGAATATACTCTCCATATAAATATACTCTGAATATATATCTCCCTGAATATACTCGCCGGCGTTCCAGTCAGCAGCAGGGGTTCGGCGGACACCGCCGGCTCCAACAAGTGGTATCCTCAATATGCCCCCCTGTATCTGAAGTATTGCAACCTGGGCACGTCCAACTCTAAGCTAGCTCTGAACAAGTAGTGTGGGCCGTATCTGCAATCTACAAGCTCAAGAGCACTGACAGCGGGTGGTCAGAAGCCGCCCCACTGGCACCAGGTCCTCAGTAAAATTGATTTCTGTGGAGAAGTGGGAGGATGCGAGATGCAATGCGGACAGTCGCGGAGAGGCGTCGATGATGCTCTGGAGATCGACGAGAGGAATGCTGCAATCCTGCAGGTGTAGGTCGACCAGCATTGGGAACACGGCGGCACCGGGTGGCAGCGCTGCTGTCAGGCTAGAGCAGTTGAAGATGCGCAGCACCCGGAGAGCTTCGGACGGCAGAGAGCCCAAGCTGAGCGTACATTGGGTGTTCACTGATTTGACCTCGATCTCCTCGACGCGCCGGGCCGCCGGGTTGGAGACTACGGCGGCGACAAGCAGGTTTGTCTTGCTGCCTTCCGCAATGAAGAACGTGAGCCTCCGGATGGGGCCGTGGGCGGCGGCGGCAGCCAGAGCCTCCTCGGCGCCGCGAAGGAAGGCCTCGCGCTCCTGGTCCGGGAAGGAGCATCCGCCGTTGAAGGAGCGGGAGTCGAGGTATACAGCACCCGACGTGCGCCACAGCCAGCGCCACCGCCGCGAGAGCACCGCGGTGGCCGCGCCGTCCCTGTCGGGCGCCAAGAAGAGGATGTGCCGCAGCAGGTCGTCGGAGAGGTCAGACAGGCACCGGCCGGCGCCGCCGTCTGCCGTCGTACGCGCGCGATGTGAAGATGCGATCTGATGGATGCTCTCACGATGACTTCTTCGTCGGTTTCGTAAATCTCGGCTGGTTCGGTAAAAGAGTGCGGCCCGTGTATTCAGCCAGTATAAAACGTGACAGGGTCCACCACGTCTCCCAGCCACCGGATCCGGCTTCCCCGCCACCGGATCCGTCCTCTGGGGAGGAGGAGATGGGAGGCGTGCGAAGTTCTGGTGGGGAGGCGTGCGGAGTTTGCTGGAGTTAGATAAAATTTTCAGGTCCGAAGTAGGTATCTGTGTCAGTTTTAGTAATTGAACCGACAGTAAATAGATATCACTGTCGGTTTATATTAACAGCCGGCAGTGATGTGGTCTTTCAATATCGGTTTTAGTCTACACTAAGTTATTTTCTTGTTTTCAAGCTCAGAAGCGTACATTACTGCCGGTTCTCACGAATCCGACAGCGATGAGACCGGCAGTGATGTCAAATCTGTAGTAGTGTCTCAGTGCCACTTAGATACTCTTTTTAGATGATGAAGGTTTTTTATTGAACTTGGATATACAAGGCTCAAAACCTCAATAACAGAGATCAAACAAAAGAAAGGGAGCTTGTACAAAACACACTAGCAATTAAAGTTGGAATTTAATCCTTCACATTCAGCTGGTTATTGCCGTTATATCTGTGTTAGCAATCCATCTTCGGACACTAGAATTCACGTGCTCCAGCATTTCGTGGCAGCCGTCATCGATATGCAGTTCTTGGAGAACCATGGCGTTCTCAGCAAAGAACTTGGCCAGTTTAACTCCAAGGCAGTTTGGTTCGTCCATAGAAAAGTGCAAGCTCACTCTTTTAAGATGACTCTGCAGGCAACTGAATGACTGCTCCGTAGTCAGGCCAGGGGTGACACCGTAATCCTGATAGTTGTCTTCATTTTCTGGGCCTAATGAAACCATTGACCTGCTTTTGCGATTCCTGAAGCCACTGACAGACTTGTCGAATGGAACTCCAGGTTCATTTTCTATAGAAGACTCTATCCAAGGCGTTTGGTGCTTCTTGACAAATTTGATGCGGAGGTCACAAACCATAGGGAAACAATGGAGCAAGTCTGCCAGCAGCATCACTATTGATGGCTCGAATCCAGGGTTATATTCAACTTCTAGCTCAAGCTGCTCCAGAAGGCTGAACGACAAACCACCTAGAAGCTCATCCCGGCTCGCCTTGTCAATGAATGCCAGTCCACGCGTGGTGATGCAGTCCATTCTAAGCAAGAGCATTGTGGTGTTGAAATTCTGAATGAATCGCCATAATTTCCAATTCCTTCGCTCCTTTATAGTATAGATTATAAAGTTAATCTCCACTATAAGTCTATCTCAATATGCAAGCCATCCACATTATCTCTCCACTACTAACTATCCACATCGTCTACCACTAATAGTCATGTCATCCCACTAATTTCTAACCTCTTAATTAGAATATATATCATCTCCACTTAATACCTCTTAATTAAAAGATTTATATATATATCATCTCCACTTAATTTTATTCCAAATACTTCTAAATTTCCGTAGCAATGCGCGGGGTATCTTTTAGTATTTTTCAAAGATGTGGAACTCGCGTGTGGAGTCATCCCACATGTTATAATTTCTTAAGACGTGGAACTCGCTCGCTCATCCCTGAATTTTCATGGACCCGCTACAGGCTATGAGAACTGGGTACAGGCTCCAAGTACCAACGACAAGGGTTGGCTGTCGTCTATGGCAATGTCAGGGATGCGGCGGCAGGCAGGCTGGAAAGGTGTAGCGTGGGCTGTTCGGAGGGCAGCACCAAGTACTGACTGTTTATTAGTGCAGTGGCCGGGGGGTGGGGGGTAGAGGGGGCCGAAAGGTGCGGCATGGGAATTGCTGAGGGTAGCGCCGTGGGGTGGGGGACTCTCCCAATCTGCTGATACTACAAAAATAAAGTAAAATACATTGGCGGTCCCGCAATAAAAAAATGGAAGTTCTGAATTGCACCATCTCTTAAGTTTAGTAAACGCCAGAATGTTTCACTCAAAAAATTATTAGATATCCAGCAATAAATTTGTACCAACTGCCTTGCTGGCAACTAAATAATTGCTGTTCAATTGCTGGTTTAGCTAATCAGAAAGCTGGTGCCAAGAGATAAACTCTTAAGTGTGAGACACTATTTTTCTTTTTCGGATCACAACACGCACACTAGCATGTATGTATGCAATACTCACCCATATAAATACATGCACACGCACACCGCCTTACACTGACGAGCACCTTCGCTTATTTAGCTTTGAGGAAGAATTCTTGAGGCTTGAGACTATTATCATGGCTACATGATGAGAATACAGGCGGTGGAGGGAGAGAAGTGTCAGCTGTTGTCCCATCCTCTACAATGAACACTGCAGCCATGCCCATGGACAAATGGAAATCATAGTGGCAATGCATGAACCACATCCCTGTACAACACAGAAAATTAGATCCATGGGGTGTTACTTCGGCACCAACAATGACTGTCATATCCAATTAATACGTGTGATATCATACACAGATTTTCATTCCTCTGAAAACAAGTTGTGGACATATATATTTGAATCTTAGTGTTTCAATTCATTTAAAATTCAGACTTCAAGCAGAACTGGATATTTGTAAGGAACAGTAATCTAGTTTGCACCTCTTTTTTCTCTGTAATTCAGACTTATGATTGTCATCACATGAATTTTAAAATTCATCCTGCTACTCTCCAGACAGATTGAATCCAAACTTGAAAACTGTATTGTTGTGTGTGCATGTAAGGACCCGAGAACAGGTAAATAAAATAAAAATTAAACGAGTGTGCACTGCACCTGGATTGTCGGCGACAAATCTGACGGCGACCCAGCCGAGCCTGGGGACGAGAACGGTGTTCCTCACCGGCGGATCCAGCAGGTTGTACCTCGCCACGTCCCTCGCCGCGTCGTAGTTCCCAAGCCCCTGGGCGAGCACGAACATGTCGTGCCCGTGCAGGTGCATCGGGTTGGAGTCACCCTGCCACATGGCCGTGCTCTGGAACACCACCTCCACCACGGCGCCGTGCCGGAACCGGCGCACCACCGTCGCCCTGGACGTCGGCTCCAGCTCCTCCTCCTCGGGCCCCGTCGGCATCAGGGCGCTGTCGGTGAAGTTGAACATCCTCGGTGGCCCGTCAGGAAGCTCGACCACCATGTCGTCCATGCTGCTTGTGTTGCGGTAGTACGCGTCCAGCATTGAGGTCTTCAGATCAGGCAGCTCGAAGGAGACGTTGTTCATGGTCGCCACGCTGATGGTCTCGTCGCTGTCCCCCCTCTTGCAGGACTGCTGGCCTCGCCGCCGGCAGACGGATCCGAGCCCGAGCGTGACGAACATACGCTCGTCCACCTGCGCTGGTACCGCCGACAGGTGCTGCGCGTGTCGCCGGCGCAGGCTGGTCAGGTTGCCGCGGAAGTAGAACGACGTCATCATGTCGAACTCGTCGGGCATCACGGGCGCCACTGGAGCATCATCGGATCTTGGACGACGACGACGTGAGCTCAGCGCGGCCGCCGCGCCATTGCTATGGTTGTGGTTGCTGCTGTACTTGTACAGCACCGTCGCTCTTGTAGCGAACGCCGGGATCTGGGGGTCCGGCGGCGGCGTGAGGATGGGCTTGGCGACCATGTAGTAGGACCTGTCAGGGGGCGCGTCGGCCACAACCAAGGCGTCCACCGTCTCGCCGGGCGAAATGGCGAGGATGTCGGTGCGGTAGGGGTTCACGTAGTTGGCGTCGCCGGCGACCACCGTGAACTTGTGCCCGGAGATCCTGAGATAGTACTCGGAGAAGAGGGCGGCGTTGATTACTCGTAGTAGGTATGTCTTTCCAGGCTCCATGTCCAACACATACCCAACTTCCACTGCTCCTTCACAGTTGAAGAGATCTCCAAGCTTGCCATTGATGGTGGATGCACTGGGTTGGTCATCGAGGAAACCATGCACGAAATCACTGTCCATCTGTTCAAGGTCCATCTCCCACCACTCCCCTAATCGACATTAGCAATACCACATCAGCAAACGTCTGCGTATCATAGATGATCTATAATGTGAATTTGTGAAATAATTCACAAACCTATCACGATGGGGATCTCCCTATGAGCCTTCGGAAACGGATACGAGTTGGCGCCGCCATGTCTTGGCCGGATGATGAAGGCTCCATGGACGGTACCACGGAGGCTGAAGACATGAGCGTGCCACCACAGCGTTCCTTCCTGACCGGCGACGTCGAACCGGTAGGTGAAGTTGTGGTTGGGCAGGATGGGGCATTGGGTGATCATTGGCACGCCGTCGACCCAGCAGTTCAGCTGCTGCTTCACTCCGTGCCTGCAAGGGAAAACACAAAACAATAGATTCAGGAAATGGAACTCTGACGAAAAAAACGTGAAATGAAAAGTGTGATCGTGATGACTTTTGTTCTTAAAACGAAATTGGGATGAAGAGTTGTACATATGGAGTGATGGACTACATACCAATGTATTGTCATGTTGTGGGGTGACTGGTTTACAACATGAACTATTACAGAGTCCCCTTTAGTGGCTTCTATCATCGGCCCCGGCAACTGCCCATTCACCACGGTGACCAGGGTCTCCCTGCACAGGTGTGTCATTCTCATCTGGCTCACCTACATATATACATGCATGTTCCTACAAATCAATCAAAGGTTCAATGGCTTGTTAAAAGTTCAGAACGGCTGTGCAGCTGATTCAGAGTTTTCAGAAATGTAGCAAATAAATGTGCAGGCCAAATTGTGGCATAAAGAAGCATGTTGCTTACCACAAAGGTTTGCTCGATGAGTGCCGCAGATGCTCGTGTACTCATGGCGGAGAGGATGAAGACGACAGCAGTGACCGCTGCGGCCATAGGAGAGAGGTTCCAGCTCTCCATAGAATGCATCTGTGTATGGTTTGCTGTGCAGTGTACAGAATACATGTATTGGAAGGCACTAGATAGGAGTAAAAGTTAAGTGGTTGCGTTGACGAAGAACTGACAATAGGCCCCAAGCCCCCAAGTCACACATGCGTGCATGTGTGCCAGTTGAATGCGTCCTTAACGGAGATTGCACATCATTAATTGTGTGTCACTGGAACAACCGGCAACCGATTCAGTCTTTCGGGTTACCTGTGTTTTTTTTCCTTGCCTTGAGCCCTGGACTGCCTCGTGGTACACAATAACTTCTACTCCCTCTTAGTATATATAAAAAAAATATATATGATTCTCGCTTTTCGAGGAGTCATAGTTAAACCAAATTTATGTAAAAGTACTAACATTTATGATATCAAATATTAAATCAATCAATGAAAACATAAATATTTATACTATTTTCTATAAATTCGGTTAAACATAAGCAAACTTGTCTTCGCATAAATCTAGAATTGTATTTTTTTTTGGCATGGACGGAATATACCATCACTATCCAAGTAGATCTAGTCAGTATTAATTGACGATGCATATCTACTTTTGCATTTACTTTTTTTTTTCTTCTTTTTATTTAAAAAGAAAAAGATAAGCTGCATGGGTTAATGGATCTAAGACGTGATGTTTGAATGAACTTCGTCTATCTTTACATATACCTATTGCTATAGCTATATCTCCATATCCAAATCTATTATATGAAAATCTATTTATATCTTCTACTCCCTCTGTCCCAAAATAAATGATGTTCTAGGTTTGTCCTAAGTCAAACCATTTCAAGTTTGATCAAACTTATACAAAAAAATACTAATGTTTGTGACACCAAATAAGTATTATTAGATTTATCATGAAATGTATTTTCATATTGTAGCTATTCGGTGTCAAATATTGATGTCTTTTGTAACAGCCTTGCGGCACTCCGACACACTCAAGGTAGTGATGCACCCCCATATATCTATGCACCACCAGATGATCCATTGGGTGGTTCCACATTCTGCACCATATCATCTGGTAGGGTATATTTCTCAGTTGACTATTGACTCTTTACTTACTAACATTGATCCCTCTTTACAGGATGATTCGCCACCTTATCCTTTGTTTTCCGCAATGTCATCCAGAATCACTGGGTGGTCCCAGATTCTACACCATATTATCCGGTAGCGTATATTTCTCAGCTGACTATTGAATCTTCTCTTACTAAAGTTGAAACCTCTTTGTCGGATGATTCACTGCCATATCCTTCATTTTCCACCATATCATCAACATGTGATTCATTTCTTCATTGTATCTGTAGCACCCCACATCGA